AATAGCATCCGTGTACTTACCACAGCAAACACATGAACCATGTCCAACATGGGAGATGGTGAACTTGGTGAACCACTGTCACACCGGAAATATAAAACTCATCATCGGTACCGATGCACATGCCCACTGTGTGCTGAGGGGGAGCAAAGATACTAATGAAAGAGGAAGAACACTAGCTGAATATCTTTTGGCAACAAACCTAAAGATTCTCAACCGAGGCTGCGAATCAATTTTCGTAACATCGCATAGTCAGTCAGTAACAGATATTACACTGGCTACATGGCATATCTCACAATATACAATGGAATGGTACGTTTCCAAAGAGGCGTGAATATCAGCCCATAAATGGATTATGTATAATTAAAATGTATAGACATAGAGACAAAGACGTACCGGAACCCTAGGCTGATGAACTGGGCTTTATACAACGAAGAATTGGAAAACAGACTGGGGACCTCCGTACACTCGATACCAACAGAATATAAATCGACAGAAGACATAGAGAAAACTTTGACCATTATCAACGACTCTCTAATACAGCTTATGAGAAAAGTTGCCCCCTAAAGAAGGAAGGCCTGGGCAAAGGTACACCATGGTGGAACCGAAGACTCGGCCTACTTCAATCGGGGCTAAGAAAACTTTTCAATAAAGCAAAAAACACTAAGAAAACTGAAGACTGGGAAGCCTATAAAGAACACCGGAAAGAGTTTAAGAAAGAATTAAGAAAATGGAAATGGGAAACTACATAACGTCGACTGCTTCGGCTGCAAGGCTGAAGAGTGTTCTCTCGACGGGATTTCTAAAAAAAGAAGGTGGCACTTTTACAGCCACCTTGGAAGAGTCCGCAGAACTTTTGCTGCAGACTACGTTTCCAGGTAGTACAAGGATTACCTCCCATTCCAAAAGGGATGTCGCCGATGCTCAACTTTCCCCGAGGGACTGTGCGCTGGCGGCAAAGGTAGTCACCGAGGCAAGACTGGAGTGGGCAGTTGGCAGCTTTTCCCCATATAAATCTCCGGGAGTGGACGATATCTATCCCGCCTTCCTGCAGAAGGGAATGAGCAGACTACGCCCTATCTTGTTGCCAATGCTTTGGGCGTATGTGTACCTATATGTATTAGCTTAACACCATTTTTACTGAAAACGCTAGAAAGACTAAGCGAAAAAGAGATTCGGGAGACCGCTTTAAGCAAGCAATCTCTACATCCGACCCAATATGCCTACAACCAAGGAAGATCCACGGATACGGCCTTACACACAACTGTAAACCGTATAAAGTGGGCGATAGAAAACAAACACTCCACCTTAGGAATGTTCTTGGATATTGAAGAAGCGTTCGATAAAACGACCTTCAAAAGCATAGAATTGGCCCTAGAAGAGCACGAACCACACCCCTAGTAGGTGGATGACCGGTATGCTGAGGAATAGGGAAATACTGATTAATGTAGGTGACACTGAGATCGATGCTGTTGTAGACACGGGATGTCCCCATGGAGAGGTAATTTCTCCTGTACTGTGGCATACTGTCGTTGACAACCTGATACGACGCCTCAATGATCTTAGTTACCACACAATTGGATACGCAAATGATCTAGTCATTTTACTGACAGGAAACAACGCAGACACATTATGTGAAATAATGCAAGCTGCAGTAGCATTAGTCGAGGAATGATGCAGCGGACAAACCCTCTCCGTAAATGGAGAGAAGACGAAATTAATCCTGTTCACTAGGAAAAGGAAAATTGGCACACTACAGATGCCAAAAATATTTAACATAACGCTTCAACTTTCGGACGAAGTCAAATACCTGGGAGTTGTATTGGACTGGCGACTGAACTGGAAGAAGCATGTAGATGATATGGTTACGCCTGACGGGCGAATAATTTTAGTCGGAGGTAGGTAAAAACTCAACAATTTATTTCTTTAACTGGAATTACACTATAACAGCGATAACTTTGCAATAACTTAAATGCATTCCTCATTCGATTCTTGACTGAATGATGAATGAATCATTCCCGACGATGGCCTCTATTTATCCATTTTTCGGCGATCCAGCTCTTTCTCGAATTGGGTATTCGCGACTTCCGCTTCCAGGCTTTTCGAGCGCCGCTTCGAGACTTCTGGGCTCGTCGCGACATCCGCTTGTATCCACGAGGCCGATGAGTCAGACTACATGCGGGAAGCAACGCGTATATACTAGAAGACGCATAGACGTCGTACTGGGGCGGCGTATGGGTTTATTTCGTAACATTGCCCCCTCCTTAGTTCAGAAACGTCGACGGTGTCCCTGTTGTACTCCATGAGGCAGTCTAAATGGACGATCTTCATTTTCGTCTTCGACCCTCGTCGAATTCTGTCAACGACATCATTGATTCTCGTCACGACATATGGACCTTCCCAGTCTGGTGATAATTTCGGGCAACGAGCTTTCCTTCTTCGAGGATTATAAAGCCATACAAACTCCCCTGCCTGGAATCCTACTGAGTTATCCTTAAGGTCGTAACGTGTTTTCATTCTGTCACTCGCCATCCGGATTTTATGGCGCACCGTTTCTTGAACGCTCAGCAGCTTCTCCTTCAAGCCATCGACGTAGTCTATAACCTCCTTTGGTTCTTCACTCGGAGAGCCAAACAAGATGTCACAAGGCAGACGAAGTCCTCTTCCGAAAACTATCCGCGCCGGTGTCTGCCCCGTCGTGTCATGGACAGCTGATCGATAAGCCAGTAGGAATAGTGGAAGATCTATCCCAATCTTTTTGATGATCTGCCACCACTTTCGCAAGATGTTCTTCCATGGTACGATTGAACCGTTGCACCATCCGATCCGACTGCGGGTGCAACGGGGTAGTCCATGTCTTCCGTATCCCTAGTACTTCAGTAATCCTTTGGAATAGATTTGACTCGAAGTTTCTGCCTTGGTCCGAATGGAGTTCCATAGGGACCCCAAACCTGCTGATCCAGTTGTCAATCAGCGTTGTTGCAACCGTAGTGGCTTCTTGGTTCCGTATGGCATAAGCTTCGGGCCATTTGCTGAAGTAATCGCTGACGACCATTATGTACTTATTCCCGTCCTCGGTCACCGGGAAAGGACCTGCTATGTCCACTGCAATTCTTTCGAAAGGCGAACCGACGTTGTATTGATGCATCGGCCCTCTCGCTCTAGTCCGTGGTCCCTTGACCGCCGCACAGGTCGTACATCTCTTGCACCAGCTGTCAACATCTTCTCGACAATGGACCCAGTAAAATATCTCCCTAACTTTAGCAAGCGTCTTGTTGAATCCAGAATGAGCACCAGAACCACCGTTGTGCATTTCTCGAAGTACTTCCTTGGTTCTAATGGCCGGAACAACCAACTGCATGGTAGTATGTTTCCCATCCGGACTCTCCCAAGCTCGCTTAAGCAATCGATTCTCAACACGCAGGGAGTTCCACTGAGCCCATAACGCCTTGAAAGAGGGTGATTTGTCTGATATCTCCGACCAAGCTGGTCGTTCTATCCCATCTTCTTTCCATTTGAGCAACGGCCCAATATCTACGTCCTCCTCTTGGTCCTTTCTAAGCTGGGCGGTAGTCCATTCTTCATCTTCCACAACTGCTGTCCTCCCACAGTTGATCGACGTTTCACGCTGCTCGATCTTGTCGCAGTGTTTACAATTCTTACACGGTCTTTTCGACAAGGAGTCCGCATTATTGTGGAGCTTACCAGCCCTGTGTCGAATTTTGAAGTGATACTGTTGGAGTCGTTCAAGCCATCTAGCTACTTGTCCTTCGGGATTCTTCATCTGAAGGAGCCATGTGAGGGCTGCGTGATCGGTTCTAATCAGGAATGCGCGTCCATAGAGATACTTATGGAAGTGTTCAACAGCCCGGACAATCGCCAGCAACTCCTACCTCGTAGCATAGTAGCTCTTCTCGGGTTTCGAAAGTACGCTGCTGAAGTACTCGATGACTTTTTCTTCCTTGTTCTGCACCTGCGACAATACAACACCTATTGCAATGTTGCTAGCGTCCGTGTCCAGGATGAACATTCCCGATGATTGAGGATAGGACAGAATAGGACTAGAGCATAGTGCGTTCTTCAATCTTTTAAAGACTGCTTCACATTTAGCAGTCCAATTAAACTGAGACTTCAAATCCGTCAGCCTGTACAGAGGAGCAGCAATATCAGCAAACCCGTTGACAAACCTTCTGCAGTACGTGCACAATCCCAGGAAACTACGGACTTCGTGTTTATCTCTTGGTCTTGGCCAATCGCGAATCGCATTGATCTTTGTTCCCGTAGTCTTGATCCCGTTTGCCGAAACAGTATGCCCCAGAAATTCTACTTCTTTTTGGAAGAGGAGGCACTTCTTCGGGTTCAACTTCAAATTTGCCTCCTTCATTCGGCTAAAGACCTCTTGGAAGTTGGTCATATCTTTTCCATTGCCATGATGTCGTCTAAATAAACCAAACATGTTTTCCATGTTAACCCTCGTAATACCATCTCCATCAGCCTTTCAAAAGTAGCCGGAGCGTTACACAGTCCAAAAACGCATTACGGTAAATTGATACAAGCCGCTGACCCTCTGGATCTACACGGAATTAGTCAGACCGATGCTGTGCTACTTACTTATTATTTTGCACATTCTAGATAGATTTACTTAGTAAAATTTTGAGCTGACGTCATTATATTTTTAGTGGGGATAAACAAACACTTTTTTTGGTTAGCTCTTTAACACCCACACGAAATTCTCAATAAACATCTAAAATTTTCACAACAATCTGACAGGATTACTTGGCTAGTGAACTCACAAACAGACGACAGACAGATCGACGGAAACTGAAGAAAATTAGCATTTACTCAAACAAAACTAACAAGAATGAAAATTCTTTAAATTTAAACTTCTTAACAAATTGTTTTCCATGTTACTAGAAAAATTGTCTTTTGAATTGAAAAATATTTTATTTTACCCAGACATCCATTACAAAATACACTTAATAGGTTGTGACATTGTAAAAATTATATTAAAAACTAATTTATGTTTCAGCTTTATGAAAACTTGTGTACATTATAGACTCAAAACTATCAAAGTCCTTGAAATGGACTTGCAGTCCCCGTATCAGAATCATCTTCACCGCCATCATTCCCTCTCGGAAACATCTTGTCCGAAATCTCGTCCATAAATAGCAAAAGTCAGTACCCGATTCTGTGATTTCTTAAAAGCGAACGTTCTCTGGATCACCGTTTGCCCATCTTCATCCACTTGTTTACCACTCCATTCCGTCTCATTCGCGTTAATCGGCCGAATCGAACTCAACAAAGAATTGGGAAACTGCGTCGTACTTGCATTGTCTTCGAAATTAGCTGTAATCGTAATATTCTCAAACTTTACAGGCCACACAATTTCGTCGTACTTCGGAAATCTTTGACCACACGAAGATATCGAAGAGTTGAGACAAGCGATGACTCCACAGATTTCAAAGCCACCGTGTCCGAGACTGGGGTAGTGCCGAAGTCCTGAGAAAGCCACCAGGAGGTAAGAATACGAAGTACCGGTTTCTTCGCTTGTGGTCAAAGTGATGTTGAAGTTACAACAAAAGAACTTTTCTGTGTTATTTCCGTGACAAACTTGATCTTCGATTGTTTGCGAACTGTTTGTGTCTAAAGGTGTCCACGTGAAATCTGAAGCCAAACATTGTTGAAAATTATTTAAGTCTACAACGAGAAGAAGTACTTTGAATGCTGTCATCGATCCATGTAGGGAAAGCGTCCATTTCTTTACCCAATTCGTCGACATTCTGAACTTCGGGAGCCACCACAGTTCCATTTACACTTTCATATATTAAAGTTTTAGAACCTCCTTGAGCAACAATTGTTTGCAAAATGGTATCGTGAGCACCTGCAACTCGGGGTTAGATTTTCGAAAACTGACAAATATGTTGTACCTCTGTGAACTCCAGTTCCACCAGCGGACATTAGTGGTAGGTTTCCACCAGCAGCAAACAACATAATGTTGTGGGTGTAAGCGAACATCTGCTGACTTTGAAGAGCTGTAAAGACGATTTTAAGAACAGTTCGTGACGACGTACCAACAAACCGGTTAAAAATGGTAGCTCTGAGCGCCAGTTGGTGGGGTAGATGATGGCATCTATATTCGCATTCAAGAGGATTTCAGCTGGATATTGGAACAAAATATCAAAGCAAGTAAAAATACCAAACTTGACACCAAAGTCGGTTTCAAACGTTTCTATTTCAGGTAAATCGGTTCTGTCCGTTAGGTGCTCATCACCAAAGAGATTGAACTTGTGATATCTAAAATCAACAAATGAGTTATTGGTTCGTCTTACCAGAACTACAAACCGACTGATGATGGTACCGTTTCTATCAAAAACTACATTTGTGTTGTAATAGTAGTTCCCAGTATTCTTACAATTTTCGCTAGCACTAGATGACGTGTTATCACACTTCACTTTTTCAACTATGTTAGTGACGAGGTATGTGTTAAAGTTGATTGCCAGAGAAGATAATTTTTTCATATAATCTGGATATTCTTTGGAGTGGTAAAAGGGGTTGTCCCCGGTTGCCATTTCCACAGATGTTTTACGAATAAAACCAAGACTTGCTTCAGGAAATATGATCATGTCGAGTTTCTAGGAGCAACTAGTGAAGACAATTTTAGATTTTTTGTTAAACTACCTTATTATTTGTGACCACTGTAGTATTTAATATATCTAAATACTTGAGGAGGTTCGCTTTTATTATTTCATCGTCTGTGAGAGTTTCCGTGTAGAGTGGGTCAAATTCCACGACGGCGATGGTTGCTGAAAGGGTGTCCCATGGTGAAGCCTGTAACTATACTGATTTAGATTTTTATCCTTATGTGTTTGTACGTGTTTTTGATTATTTACCTGAGAAACAGAAACTAAAATTAGTGAAAATAAGATGAGTGGTAACATCTTCGTCAAGAAATTGTTGCGTACTGAAATATCAAAAAATGTATGTATAAGTTAGTACCTACTACAGTCAACACAGGTAGAAATTAATTAATTTAAACACGACAGATCTATAAACGCTTATTGGCTGGAATGCACGTGTGCACGTATGGTACTTAAACTCCAAATTTAGGATGGTACGAGTGAATTTATACAAATCCTTTCTTCATAAATTATATAAGAATAGTGATAAATACAGATAGTAAATACATAGAAATAAGATAAAAATTTCACATACTTTGGCTAATACTTGAGAAAATAACAAGAAAATAATTAATAGAAATAAGAGATAACTACTATCACTTCCGAAAGGTCGACTTCCATAATAATACTTTCCGCTCTTTCGAGGTTCTGCTAGACCACCCAAATAACGGCCTCTAAAACCAAGTTTAAATATTATCTAAAGATGAAAATTGATTAGTATTCAACGGATGACGGGAGCAAAGTAGAGAAAATGCTTTTGAAAAAAATCAGATAGTACCAAGATCACTCGCAAAACCATGCAAACAGGAAGAGGATAGTAAATCTGAATTGATAAGTGATAAGTATGATGCAGCAATTAAAAACGGAATTAAACGTAATGAGAGCAGAAGAAAAGGAATATAGAGAGGAAAATTTAAGTTTAAGAAACGAAACAGAAAACTTAAAGAAAAAAAGATGGAACTCAAGAAGCAAAATGAAAAGAAGAATATGGAGTTGACAAAAGTTAAAGAAACTTTGGAATGGACAGAAAATGAAAGAGGAAAAATAACTACGACAGGTAATGGAAAGTTTTATGAAACTAAATCTGAAGATCAAACCAGAAAGGGAACGTCGAACACAAGGTGTATGAACATGAAGAACATGAACTGGCACAAGAATTTAAAAAATCAAAATTTGAAATATTGGAACTTACTAAAGCAAAAAATAAAGGCAAACGAGAAATGACAATAGAAGGCGATGGTATATTGTATAGCGAATTTGAAAGTAATAAACGAGCAGAGGCAAGTGTATGATATATAATAAGTCCCCACTATATGACGAAAATGGTTGAATGGAAAAGTTGAAAATTTTAATACTGAAAACTAAAAAACTACAAATCGATAAACTGAAGAAATGAAAAACTGCAAAAACCGAAATTTTGCAAAATAAAAATCGAAACACTAAAAAATCCAAAAACTGAAAATTTCAAAAAATCGGAAAAGTTAAATCATAATCATGATTTGTGAAAATCAGTCTTACATTAGCAAGTACTAGAATCTTGTTTTAGCAGGTACTAGGTCCGCCCACCCGCCCTCTATTTTCTTAGAAGGTATATTATTTGCCAAAATCAGTCTCATCTTAGCAAAGACTAGCCCCGCCCATCCGCGCTCTTTTCATTCTAACGACTAATTTTATTTCTTCTGTGTAAGATCCACCTTTCATTCAGACTAGATAAAGTCAATCATTGAAATGAAGACGGGGTGGGTAGGCGGGGCTTAATATGTTCTTCTCTCAAGTGGAAGTGGAAGGAAACTAATTGAATCTAGGATGTAGAAAAAGTAAAAAAAGAGTTAATCCTAACTTCTTTTGTTATATTATTTGCTATAAGATTTATTTTTTATTTGAGCAAAAACGAGAATGGGTGGGTGGGCGGGGCTAAGTTTAAATTTTTCAAAAAATAATCGTAAAATTGAAGAAACGAAAAATCCACATGTTGAAATATCGAAAAATTGAAGAAATGTTTTCATAATGCATAAACCGAAAGGTTGTAAAATAAAAATCGAAATGCTAAAAAAATCGAAAAACTGAATACCTGAAAAAATCGAAAAAGTCAAATCATAATCATGATTTGTGAAATTCAGTCTTATCTTAGCAAGTACTAGCCCCGCCCACCCGCCCCACCCCTTATTTTCTTGGAGGATGTCATTTGCCAAAATCAATCTTACTTCAGCAGGTACTGTTGAATCTATAAGGATGAGATTAACACAAATTAACACAGATAATAATATCATATGGGTTAGGAGAAAATGATAAAACAGTGGAAAAAGAAAAGTTCTGGGAACAATTACAAGAAACATGCTATGAAGCAAGAGATACAGTAACAATTACGGGAGATTTTAATGCCAGAGATGATTTTGTTATTATTATTATTATTATTATTATTATTATTATTAAAGAAGCGACCGGGCAGAGGCGTGGCCTGTTGTGCCCGCGCTAGCATCAAGTGATGGGGTGACAGTATTACTCTTTAGTTAGTACAATAAGTATCATATTTGGATTTAAATATTAAGGTAGACTCCGCTAATACAACTTCTTGGGGTAGTGCATTCCAATCATGAAAAACTCTGTTTGACAAAAATGTTTGTCTCACCGTGGTATGAAAGTTTTCCTTAAGGGGATGTCCTCTAGTACGTTTCGAAAGATTAAGAGTAAATAATTGTTTAATTGGAGAATGAACATTACTTAGAGCTTGATAAGTGATTATTAAATCCCCACGTTTGCGTCTGTCAGAAAGAGGGCAAAGTTTCATTGCATTAAGCCTACCACAATACGAAGGTCGGTTTCTATCAAAAGGAATTCTGGTTGCCCTACGCTGTACCAGCTCCAAGCGTGCGATATCTCGTTTTAAAACAGGAACCCAGGCAGTGTTGGCAAATTCCAGTAACGGTCTCACGAATGTTTTAAAAAGTTTTCCAAATATGGATGGACTAGCTTTAGCAAAGACTTTACTTAACAGATAAAGCATCGAGTTAGCTCTCTTAGTGACACGCAAAATATGCTCACTCCAAGAAAAATCGGAAGTAACGAGAACGCCCAGGTCGATATGAGATTCCGTTACGGATATCTGCGTGTTCCCAATGTAGTAGGGGTGTCTTGGGTTTTTATTACCTATATGTAAGACTCTGCACTTATCAAAATTTAATGGAAGTAACCAGTTACGAGACCAATCATATACAGCTTGTAAATCTTTAATTAACAAAGGGAATTTATCGCAGCTATTATATAATTTAATGTCGTCAGCATACATGGCGAAGGAGGATGATATAATTCCTTTGATGTCAGCTGTATAAGCAATGAAAAGTAATGGACCCAGCACAGAACCTTGCGGTACGCCACTTACGACATCAACATATCTGCTGAATGCATCCCCAACTTTAACGCGAAAAGTTCGGTCTCTTAAAAACGAGCCAATCCACCTCAACAGACTACCACGTAAGCCAAGCAGATTTAACTTATGTAGGAGACATAGTTTTGGCACTTTATCAAACGCCTTAGAGAAATCCAGGTATATGATGTCTAATGCTCTTTCAGAATCAAAGCTTTTGGTCCACTCCGATAAACAGCAGAGGAGGTTTGTTTGAACCGACCTCCCTGGCAGAAAGCCAAGAAAGTTCATCTGGGACGAGATCTTGTTCCAGTAGAAACTTCATTACCTGATCATAAATGGTTAATTCCATAACTTTCACCACAAGCGAAGTTAAACTTACTGGTCTATAGTTCGAAGCATCAAATTTGTCTCCTTTCTTAAAGATCGGGCGTACAATTGCCGTCTTCCATTCGGAGGGAAGAGAACCTGACTTAAACGATTGCTCCATTAAAATCATAAGCGGGATGGAAAGAGACTCCGCGCAATTCTTTAATACATTGGCCGTAACGAAGTCTGGGCCCGGGGATTTCGAGATTTTTAATTTTTTAAGTTTATCCAGTATTAGGTCTCTGGAAAATTCTACTTCGGAAATATAGTTAGAGTTAAAAGCCCCCAACAGACTAGAATGTCCAAGAGGCGGCCCTTTCGTAAAGAACTCAGAGAATGTCTCCGCGGATACCTCTGCCACATCTTCGTTATTATTAACTACTATTTCTGAGGCATCCCTAACATGAATGCTCCTCACTGGCCCCGATACCTTCATTCGGATGTACTTGTACAGGCGCTTAGAATCTTTATCCGCTGCAATGGAATACTCATATTTCAGCCTAGCTTCTCTAATGACAGACAAAAGATGGTTCGAAAAGTCTCTGTGCGTTTTATAGGCGGCTTCAGACTTCGTTCTTTTAAAGGCGCGCCATAATGCTCGCTTTTTACGGACTAAACCTAGAATTCTGTTGTTGAACCAAGGTTTTGAAAATGATCTTTTAGAAATGGTAGTACTGCTGCATTGTGAGATAGCATCAAACAACACTGTTTTAAAGATATCCCAGTTATTGTGGATCAAGCCATCCGAGAGGATTGATTGCCAATTAAATTTGGAAAGCCGATCGTTCAGTGTCTCAAAGTCAACTTTTTTCCTATGGAACCTGATAGTTCTTGATCTAGGTAAATAACAAATTTGTAATTTAGCCATTAAAACAATGTGATCTGAGTTACCGATTGGATTGAGATACTCTAAATTAGTGATCGAAGAATCATCGGATGTTATAATTAAATCAAGCAGGGAAGGTTGTTGGTTAGCCCTGTATCTCGTCGGTTTTGTAACCAGCTGATTCAAATGACTATCAACTATTAGATCTACAAAAAGCTGGGAAGATGCCGTGTTGTTCTGTTGTACTGAAAATCTGTCTGTACGAATCCGCCTTGATTTTTTACTGTAGACATCCAGATGTACGCAAAAAAATCCAAATTACATCAACACTAATAATAAAACCAATATTCAAAACGTTTTGTAAAAGCAAAAACTCCAAAAATGTGAAAATTCTTCTACTTGTTTATTCCCGAGTAAGCTATGATTTGTACTGCACAATTGACTTTGGAATTACTATAAGGAATTGAGAGTATTTAATTTAAACAAGTGATTACTTGATTACCAAGTATACATGAAGAAATTTGAAAGTGATAAAAGTGAAATCAAATCCACCAACATTATGAAACTATCGGATGGCCGCTGGCCTTCCGCGGAACTGTGCAGATAAGATAAGAAAGCGCCAAAAAAGCGCCAATAGAATCTAAGAAATAAAATCAGAGATGGCCTCAGGATTTTCTTAGCGGTACCTGGATAAGAAGGGAAACAATCTAAAGGCTGAACAGTATGGAAAAGGTGGAAGAGATGTTCAAGGAAATACACGCAAACCTGCAGATAAGAATAGCAAATCAGGAAGCTAGAATTGAATATTTGGAGAGAAAAAAATTGTACAGAGAGAAAAAAAATACAATATGGAGAAACTATTAGAACAAATTATTACAAAAACAAGGAAATAAGAAATCTGTAAGAAAACCGTTAAACATAGGCAACCATGTGCAAGTTTAGTGCTTTTTAAGTAGTTGGTAGCTCTTCAAGGGAATTTCTGTTGAGAGGGTTGGTAGAAATTGATTTGGTGGCTAGAGGCGTCACTTTTTGATTTGTTTGTTGTGACTGAAACCACGTGGTGAGTTAGCTAGGTTAAGTTTAGTTGGTTTGGTAGTTAATAAAACGGAGAAATACTTTGTTTAACGACAATTAATCGTACCGATTGCGATGCCACAGGTTCCCCAACACGCGTAGCTAATTCTTGTGGGTTTTTCCAAGCGGAAATATGCGAATTTTCAACCGACGCTAACACGTGTGTAAATTTGTTGTATTGTTTGTAAATTCACAATTCATGTTAGGATTTTAATCTTTAACTGGTTCTAACACAATTTAACAGTCAGGAGATTCTTCTTCAATCAGTCTAACGTTGTTTCACTCTGGGAAAAGGACCGTGAAAGTACGGTAGAATTCATAATATCGTGGACTGAGGTACGGGGGATTCAAATTTCTCCTCTTAGGCAGTGGGGACAGTGCACGATATAAACTCTCAAAGCTAATGGTTTTAAGTAACCAGTCACTTGAATCAAGGCATCATTTAACATACTTAGTGTAAATTCTTTGTTTGAATCGTTAATAAAGTGTGGAACTATTTAACGTCAGGTAAATTCTTTGTTCGGTATTTTCAAACCGAGCACATGTTTGAACTGTAAAATCTCGTTGAACAAATTAACAACATTGTGGGTTATGGGGAATGTGTATTTTATTCCTTTGATTTAGACCATTATTTGCACAGCGCCACAGGATTGATCGCATTTCTGGGAGACATATTTTTGGCGCATTTTTTTTACAATTTTTCTCTGTCTCGCAATTTTAGTCTCAGTCATTTTTTTTGTTGGATAATTTGAATTGAACGTAAATTTTCATGCTCTGCAGTAATTTTTTGTCTGCACAAGTTTTACTTCACACCAGATCTTTTTGTGTTTTTATAAATCTTTGCTAGTTTTTTTTTATTTTGTAAATATTTTGTTGACTAATTCTTCCATCATATAATTGTCTGATGTTCAATCTTAATCGCAAATAAGAATTCTTTGCTGTTTAAAATTTCACGAAAGTGTATGGCAAATTGAAATGTTGTTTATTCCTCTTTTTGAAACTTTAACACTTGTTCAGTTGTCGTTTAATATCAGAGTTATAGAAAGTGAACATTTAAAATGGAATTGAGGTAAACAACACAATAACACGTGGCGGAAGCGGAGTGCCCGATTTCTTGTCGAACTGGCGGTCTCGCCATCTGCACAAAGGATGCAGGCCTAGGATAGAAGTCAGGGGCGATCGGGATGACGTGACGCTGTCGGCTTCGCCCATAGCCGGGACCACGAGTTTGCGACCGTAACGGCCTGCTCGAGCGGCATGTTCGTAATGGCGGGGTGATGTGTGGCAGTGCTTGCTGATAGAATAGAATCACCATCGTGGGGGGAGAACACCCACAACCAGGAGCCCCAAACTCCGCTCGTGCTACAACGCCCCATTTGGGTAATTTTGCTGTACCCGAGAATGAAATTGACATAGTTCGATTGCCACGCTCTTATGGCGCCCTGGTGCAGCTACCGCCGCATAAAGTTTGCTTATTAAAATTTCATTCTCTTGTAATAACTTGTGTATTTGCATCCAGTTACTTTCCTTCAGATTTTTCTTTGTTTTTATTAAATTTGTGATATTCAAATATTTGCATTGATTCGCAACGTTTAATTTAATTTCACTCAAAGTTAGGCAAGTTTATGTCTTCAACCAGCACAACTTAGTTGCAGATTTTTTTTTCAGTGGAGGAATAAATAATTTTGTGTCCTCCATATATTTTGTGTTTTATTTAGTGGTACTTTTCCAACCTTGGGATCCACCACTTGCATTTGAACGCATTCCGCCACAAAAAAAAACCAAATACGATGTAGAGTTCCATTTTGTTAGACGATCACAGCCAAGGCCAAATTTTTGAATTTTTCGCGAGCAGTGTTAGAAATAAAACAGGAAAACAGGAACACATTCTAGGTATACATATAAGATTTATTTAGCAAAATTTTGAATTGGTGTCATTACATTTTTAGTTGGAATGAACAAACACATTTTTTGGTCTGTTACACGATATTCTTAAAAAAAACACCTAAAATTTCACAACAACCTGACAAGACTACTCGTCTAGTAAAATCACCAACAGACGACAGATAGATCGACGAAAACTGAAAAAAATTAACTTCTACCTATACAAAACTAAAATGAATGAAAATTCTCTAAATTTAACCTTATTAACAACTTGTTTTTTCATGCTGCGAAAAAATTCTTTTGAATTATTGTACAATGTTTTATTTCACAGAGACAACCATTAGGTCAATATAGTACTTAACAAGTTGTTACAATGTAAAAATTATATTAAAAATTAATTTACATTTTTAACTTTATGACAAATGCATCTCTATGTACATGCATTTTACACATGTAGCATTACAGACAAAACCAGAGAACAGCTCAAAATTAGCAAAGTACTTGAAATGGAACTTGCAGCACCTGTATCATCTCTTGGAAACACATCTTTTCCGAAATCTCGTCCATAAATCGCAAAAGTCAACAGCCGATTTTGTGATTTCCTAAGAGCGAACGTCTTCTCAATCACCGTTTTCCCATCTTCATCCACTTCTCTGCCAATCCATATCGTCTCATTCGCGTTAATAGGCCGAATCGAACTCAACAAAGTATTGGGGAACTGCGTCTTATTGTCACTGACTTTAGCTATAATTAGCTATAATGGTAATGTCCTCAAACGTTACAGGCCACACGATTTCGTCGTATTTAGGAAATCTTTGACCACATGAAGGTATCGAAGAGTTGAGACAAGCGATAACTCCACAGATTTCAAGACCACCGTCGCTGATGTTGGGGTAGTGACGAACACCTGAGAAAGCCACCAGGAGGTAAGAATACGAAGTACCGGTTTCTTCACTTGTGGTCAAAGTGATGTTGAAGTTACAACAGAAAGGGTTTTCTGTGTCATTTCCGTGACAAACTTGATCTTCAATGGTTTGCGACCTGGTGGTGTTTAAAAGTGTCCACGTGAAATCTAAAACCAGACATTGTTGATAATTATTTAACTCTACATCGAGGAGGAATACTTTGAAGACTGTTGTCGATCCGTAGAGGGAAAGCGTCCACTTCTTTACCCAAAACGTCGACATCCTGAACTTCGGGAGCCACCAGAGTTCCCTCCACACTTTCATATACTAAAGTTTTAGAACCTCCTTCAGCAACAATTGTGTGCAAAATGGTATCGTGACTACCTGAAAGTCAGGGTTAGATTTTCGAAACATAGCAAATATCTCATACTTCTGTGAACTCCGCTTCCACCACTGGACGTTTCTGGTCGATTTCCTCCAGAAGCAAACAACATCATTTCGTGGGTGTAAGCGTACATCTACTGACTTTAAAGAGCCGCAAAGACGGTTTTAAAAACAGTTCGTGACGAACTGTTAAGAACAAACCGGTTAAAAATGGTAGCTCTGAGTGCCAGTTGGTGGGGTAGACGATGGCATCTATGTTCTCATTCAAAACGGTTTTAGCTGGACTTTTGAATAAAATATCAAAGCAAGTGAAGATGCCGAACTTGACACCAAAGTCGGTTTCAAACGTTTCTATTTCTGGTTCATCAGGTCTGTCCATGTCGAACTCACCAAAGAGGTTGTACTTGTGATACCTAAAATCCACAAATAAGTTGTTGGTTCGTCTTATCAGATATACAAACCGGCTGATGATGGTGCCATTTCTGTCGAAGACCACATCTGTATTGTAATAGTAGTAGGTACCCAGTGTTCTTACAGTTTTCACTGTCACTAGAAGATGTGTCACACTTCACTTTTTCAACTATGTTAGTGACGAGATATGTGTTAAAGTTGACTGCCATGGAAGATAAAGTTTTCATATAGTCTGGATATTCTTTGGAGTCGTTAAAGGGATTGTCTCCTGTTGCCATTTCCACGGATGTTTCGGGAACAACACGAAGACTTCCTTCCGGAAATATGATCATATCGAGTGTCTAAGAGAAACTAGTGAAAACAATTTCAGATTTTTTCTTAAACTACCATATTGTTTGTGCCCACTGTAACATTTAGTATATCTGCGTACTTGAAGAGGTTCGCTTGTATTCTTTCATCGTCTGTGAGAACTTCATAGTAGATTGTGTCAAATTCGACGACGGCGATAGTTGCTGAAAGGGTGTCCCATTTCGAAGCCTCTAAATGCATTGATTTAGAATTTTACTCGTGTGTGCTTGTATGCTTTTGATTATTTACTTTACCTGAGAGACAGAAACTATAATTAGTGAAAATAAGATATTTGGTAACATCGTCGTTAAGAAATCGGTGCGTACTGAAATTTCAAACACTATATATCTAATTTATTGCGAATGTAATTACTAACTAATTTAGATAAGATGATAAGATAAAAATCGCTAACATAATTTATCTTATGGCATCACTTTGCGTTGGCATTGTGTTTGATAAAACTTGACCCGTTCCAAAGGTTTAGGAATGTCCATCGTGTTGTTATTAACTTAGTGTCAAGGTCAAGAACTTACATAATTTGGAAAACACTTGAAGTACTAAGTTAGGTTTTTTAAATTCTGAATTGATTTTTTTTCCTAAAACAAATCTGACTTAAACTTAATCCATTACTTTTATCATGTTCAACGATTTTTATTGTTCTCGAAATTAGTGTCAGTTATTACATATATCTCACTGATTGATCGCATTTATAAATAGATCAAATTAGATAATATTGTCTTTAACAGAAAAATGTGATTGTTTAATATACGTTTTTTATCGATCTGGACCATTATTTATATTTATGATTAAATATATCGGGCTACCAACATAATTTGTTATCGAGTCATCCGTGTGTTTTTTCTCTACAATTATTATATGTTTAAGCCACTCATAGATAAATAGACTTCAGGGGCTCTTTGATGGTAGGCTACACACGTCCTTTCTACACTTCGACCAAATTTTGTCTTGTATGAGAGACTCTGCTTCATATATGAATCTTTGAAACTTGTTCCCTGTAAAGTTATTTAAGTCCTTGGGAGCTGCAACAATTACTTGAGAGTGCTTTAGTATCGCCCGTCCCAAATATTGCAGCCTTTTGTGATTCCGGGTATATGTGGTATTAGAATTCCAGTGTGAGGTATTTCGACCACCTTTCCCGGGATTTAATATCAAGCCCTAGCTACCCAAGCAGCAGAATTTCGTCTAATTCACGTCAATTTTTGGTCATAACTCGTCGGCGACGTCATTCGCCCAAAAAATCACGTGATAATGACGAGATTTTTTATTACTTACTTCTGACGTTAAAAGGCCGTCTTTTCTTCGTCATTTTTTATAGATTATATGATCAATTAGATATGGGTTGTCGTATTCTTTAAAAAGTGGCCTTCATAATGCTTAATTATATTTAGAGCAAAAAATACAACGGCTTTATTAGAAATACACCAAAGACAAGTTTTTTCATTCTCATAATTTCTAATAAAATAATTAGGTATTTCTGAAAACTTGTTTACTCTGGAAGTGTTATTTTGTAAGTGCCTGCTTGGCAAATTACTTATTATAAACAGAACATCCGGGGTTGTGCGTATAATAGTGAAAAGGCCCTACGACACAAAGTCATAAAAATTCTTTGTCCATTGTCCCTAAAACGGGACAAGGTTTTGAAGAATTCCTTCGTTGAATTTTGATTTTATGAAGACGTTTATAAAGTGATGTTGGTTACCAAAAAAATTAGAGAGTGATTTAATATTTAGTTTTATTAAATTTATTTCATCTAATGAAAAAATAATGCTCAACTTCCGTATTTACTATACAATACATCAGATGTTTGAGGTGTGCATTCGGACTTTCCCTATTTTCGGTATTTATGTTTATTGCACTTCACAGTGAAGCATTCCAATATTTCCAGTTGGTTCTCAACCGCCGAAACTGTTTCGTGTATCCGTTACTCACTTCATTTTTAACGCAGTTTTGTGAAAATTTCTGCCATTCAGTGTGGGTTGTACTTATTTACACTAAGTAAGTTAATATCTAATAAAGTAATCATTTTCATTTTTAAGTGTTTCTGTTATTTTTGATAACTGTACGGAGATAACAAAAGCAGTTCTTTCAGATAAGCTGGAAAGACCACCATAATCACTGAAGACACTCCCACTGATTATGAAGAACTTACGGTGATTGTTTTTAAAATGAGGCGCCATAAAATATTGCAAAAGTATGTTACTGCAATTTTTTATGAACTAATGCTAATGAACATAATTTTATTCTAGATTTGAAACAAATACAAAACACATGTGCGAAACGAAAGAAATGCTAAAGGAAACTAGTGAAAAAATCTCCAACATGGAAACGTCATCAAATCTGACAACTGAAAAAGAAGATTATTTTTGCCTATTAGAACAAGCAGATTTCTTTGTTAGTTAAAAAAATACAATGAATTCATATATACATATAATATAATATTAGATATTATATACAGGTAGATGCCTGTACCTAATACTACGATACTTTTTAGTAACAACAAGAATAAATCCAGTAAACAGACTTTATTAAACATTAGTTCCGACAATGATTTTACGCAATTTTGCACCGATTTATGTAGGGTATTTACCGCAGCAAATATTCCAGGGAATAAATTTAGTTGTCCTGAGTTTAAAATTTTATGCATAAATACACAGAAAGCACTCTGAGAAAAAAATATTTACCAAAAGATTACAATATGGTGAGCACTAGAATTTTTATTTAAAAACTTTTTCACATAAATTTTATAATTTACAGGTATTTAAACAAATTAGAAATTCTGTTGGCAATACTGATATATGGATTAGCGTCGATGAGACGACGGACAGATTAGGAAGATGCATAGCCCATTTAGTTATCTTCTGAAGAAGCTGGCCGTCCATTTCTACTAGCTTTGAAGCAGCTTCATACAACTAATAATAACACAATCTCGAGATTTATAAACGAATCATTGGGTGTGCTATTGATAATTTTAAGCATTGAAATTATTATAATTTATTTAATTGTTAATTTGTAGCTTTATTGTGGCCAAAAGGAACTGAACACAAAAAAGTTAAATGGTTTGTATCAGATGGTGCTTCGTACATGATCAAAACTGGTACTAATTTGAAGGTGTTTTATGAAAATATAACACACTTAACATGTATGGCACATGGGTTACATTTAGTGTCTGAAACAATTAGACTGAATTATCCAGATGTCAATGGGATAATTATCAGTGTTAAGAAAATCTTTTTAAAAGCACCAATAAGAGTAGAGTTTTATAAAAACACTTTACCAAATACACCTCTCCCACCTGAACCTGCAGTAACCAGGTGGGGCACTTGGATTCAAGCAGCATTGTTTTATGCAAAACACTTTGATGTTTTAAAACAAGTCAGTAAATATATAATGGTGTTTTTACTATGATTCTTATATTGAATATTTTTAGGTTGTAATGTCATTTGAAGCCACAGATGCACAAAGCATTAAAAAATCTCAAGAATTCCTGAATAAAGCAAACGTTAAAAATGAACTCTTGCACATTAAAACACACTTTAAAATTATTACTGATGCAATAGAACAATTAGAAACTATAGGTTTAAAATTAAACCAAAGTATGGAAATTGTGGAAAAAGTGTATACATCTTTAAAAAACGCACCAGGAAAGGTGGGGGAAATGGCGTTCCAAAAATTATGTTCTCTATTAAAAAAGAATCCAGGATACGATTTTATATGTTCAGTAATTAACGTAATTTGCGGTAATGGAAATGCTACCAACAATACATACATAAATGAAAACGTAGATTGTTCAATATTTAATTTTGCACCCATCACTTCTTGTGATGTGGAACGCACGTTTTCAAAACTTAAAAGTGTTTTAAGCGATCAAAGGTGTAAATTTACAATCGAAAATTTAGAGAAATATATAGTTTGCTTTTGTAAGTCATGTTAAATACCTGAATTAATATTTTATTTTTTGTTAAATGCGACTTGCTTTAATTTGATCACCATTTGTTTGCGATAGTGGACGTAACTATAGATCGTTGATTTATTTAATCATTTTTACTTCCCGAGCGTAAGCAAAGGAAGTATTGTAACCGAGTCCGTCGGCCGACTCTCTACTTTTACGTTTTCTCGATCTTTCATGACCCCTAGAAGACGAAGAAATAGGTCTCCCATTTCCGTCTGTCTGTCCGTCCGTCTGTCCGTCCGTCTGTCCGTCCGTCTGTCCGTCCGTCTGTCCGTCCGTCTGTCCGTCCGTCTGTCCGTCCGTCTGTCCGTCTGCCGTCCCGTATTTTTATTAGACAGATAATCTCCGAAAGTACTCGACCGATTGTTATGAAATTTTGTACTTATATTAAGAATATCATGTAGATGGTAAAACGCTAACCAAAATTTGTCTATTCATCCCCACCACTAATGCGATGACGTCACTTCAAAATTGTACATAGTAAATGGGTTTTCAATTGTATAAAATAACATAGTCCTACACATGTAGTTTACAACTCCGAATGGACTTTTCACCCGAAACGTCCAGATTTTTGGAAAAAAATCAAAATTATAAAACAACATTTTGAAATTTAATTTTTAATCTGCTAACCAGAATGCTCTGAAATCTTGCAGATGTTTTAAGGTCATAAAGAGCATAATAAATGTTTAGTCAAAATATATTTGGTTATCTTCTACAAAAAAACTGATGACGTCAGCTCAAAAGTTTGTCGAATAAATCGTATCTAAAATGTACAAAATATGATGAGTCTGTACTTGTGATTTATCATTCCATTCATATTTTTGGATTTGCATATGCAGGGTGACTCAAAAAAATTAATGAATGCGTGAATTTATTTTATCGATTTAATCAGGAATTACAAAACCGAATGCTTTGAAATCTTGGGAATATTTTAAAATTATTATAAGCATGGTAAACTTTTGTTCAAAATGTATTTGTTCATCCCTCCTAAAAAAATTGATGACGTCACCCTTAAATTTTGGTGAATAAATCCTATCTAAAGTGCAAACAAAGTTTGTACTTGTGATTTATCATTCCATTCATATTTTTTAGATTTTCTTAAGAGGTGGTTCAAAAAAATTAATGAAGTCAATTTATTTTATTGATTAAATTAAAGGCAACACTTATTATTAGTATTACACCCCAACCAACCCAATTTGGTAGACACAAAATTTGTTAAAGGAAAAACTCGGTTGAAACATAAGGGTAGCACGCTTATTTATATCGACTTTAACATTACAGACCTGCATTTGTTTTGTTCCGCGAATGTAGAATAGACATGTTTATAATCAACCAATTGTGAATTTCACCGTCAAGAATTAAAATAAAACCCAATGTTTTATATAATAAGCGGAAGTCGAAGCAATAAAACCGATGGTCGTTTTGTTTACAGTTTCTCTGTTTGACTCTCACGTATGCTGTTACGCTTGTCATCTTAAATTCAGAATGTTTATACATAAACGATTTTCAGTTGCCCCTCATATTACTAGAAAGCGGATTTGTGTCGGGCTACGTCACGATTATAGGGGGGGACGTGCTGGATCGCCGGGTGATAGATAATCACTAAATTTAATCGGTACTAATTCCATAAATATAATTAACGATTTATTAATCAAACGGCTAAGTAAATGAGAACGGGAATTAACAGCAGAGTGCAACGAAACAGCGTTATTCTAATCTCAAATAAACGAAGTGCAGTCCGCAACCGCAATGAATTCGCATCCCGTACGAGCCGTACCGAGTTTGGCCTTGCCTAGCCCTACAGAAATCCGCTCTCTAGATATTACACACCGGCGCCGTATACGTGAGTAAATTGTTTCGTTATTTTATTGATTATAAGAAATCAATATTCAAAACGACCCAATTCATTTTCCCGAAAATTTGGGAATACAATAATTTTATTCTTAGTATTACACTACATCTATCCCAACTGATATACGTGTCCTTGCAAAAATGTTGATGACGTCATCACAATTTTTTTTTAAATTCCCACTACAAAAATGCAATGAGAAAAAAAAACACAATAGGCATGCAGTCGTCAAGTTTCCGACAGCGAGGGAAGTTCTGTCTAAACTCTTTAGACCAATTTTTTTGTTTGTTACACAAAATATTTGTTTCTATAATGTTTTGTTTAATGTTTTTTTTTTTAATATGTATTTTTTTGTTGTATGCTTTTTCGTTGAGCAAAAATTATTTCCTCCGGGTCTTTAACCTAAACTAAGATTTTTATAACCTAATTCGTCAATTTTGGGACCTAAAAATGTCTCCTTTTGTTCATTTTTATAACGACCTAAAATCCAAAGCCTAGTCATCACCAACTGTTAACTTGGGTGGAAACTTAGACATAATAACAATGGGTTCTTCTTGAGTTACCAACTTAACAGTAAAGAAGGTAACATTAGTAGCAATTGTTCCAAAATTCTTAGCAAAAGCATTAATAATTCACAGCAAAACAAAATCGAAACTTTTTGTTGTTGCATGAAATGTTTTTACTGTTTTTTGCTAATTTGGGGTCGATGATTTCGAATCTACCTTCAGAATTTTTCTAGCAGCTCGAATTTTTGCAATAGAGGTACCGTCTTGAACTTTACTTACTAATCGACAATTAGGTACTATCAATAGCGGTCTAACTCCGCTAGTTCGAAAATTACAGAGAAAGATCAGATGACCAAATCAACACCCTAAAATAACTGCAAAGTATAGATTTGGAACATCAAAACAGATAAAAGATGATTTTCATATATTTTATTCGGGTTTAAGATCGAGTACTACAGCCAATTAAGGTCCTAAATGTATTGGGAGTATACAACAAAATATTGAGAATGACTAGAAATAAATCTAAAAAAGGCCAAGTACATGACAAACAAGAACACTCGAAACAAAATGGGAGAGAACGCATTTTCGGCATGGGGAAGAACGGTGCTAAGGGGTAAAAACGTAAACGTAAAAATTTTGGAGAAGCAGCACCAATCGAGAATTAAAAGAATATATGAATCGGACCACAAAGAATCAGGTTGATGGGACACTCAATGAAATTACACAGGATCGAGTACTGAGACCATTGATGAATCAATAGGGAGGGAGGTGGAAGGAGAGGTAGACCCAGGGCCAAGTGGAAGACTCAAATGGACAAAGACATAAAAAGTTTAGGGATTCGACATTAATAAACCCTGACCAAGTAACTCCTACAGTGTTTTTACCCTTTTGGAGTTGTGTAATTTTTCTTGATTTATTATTAGATTTTTACAATTTTTATCATTTTACTTCCCGAGCATAAGCTAGGGAAGTATAGTAATCGAGTCCATCAGGCGATTTGCCAGTTTCATGTTTTTTCTACATTTCATGACCTCTAGACACAATAGAATTTAAAAATTATTTTTTGAATTGTACGATGTTTTATTTCACACAGATATCTATTAGCTAAATATAGTTAGTACTTAACAAGTTGTTACACAGTAAAAATTATATTAAAAATTAATTTACATTTTAACTTTATGACAAATGCATCTCTACGTACATGTATTTTACACATGTATCATTACAGACAAAACCAGAGAACAGCCCAAAATTAGCAGAGTACTTGAAATGGAACTTGCAGCACCTGTATCATTGTGATCGTCATCTCTTGGAAACACATCTTGTCCGAAATCTCGTCCATAAATCGCAAAAGTCAACAGCCGATTTTGTGGTTTCTTAAGAGCGAACGTCTGGATCACCGTTTTCCCATCTTCATCAACATTTTTGCCACTCCATTCCGTCTCATTCGCGTTAATCGGTCGAATCGAACTCAACAAAGTATTGGGGAACTGCGTCTTATTGTCACTGACTTCGAAATTAGCTGTAATGGTAAGTTCCTCAAACGTTACAGGCCACACAATTTCGTCGTATTTCGGAAATCTTTGACCACAGGAAGATATCGAAGCGTTGAGACAAGCGATGACTCCACAGATTTCAAGACCACCGTCGCTGATGTTGGGGTAGTGACGAAGGCCTGAGAAAGCCACCAGGAGGTAAGAATACGAAGTACCGGTTTCTTTACTTGTGGTCAAACTGATGTTGAAATTACAACAGAAAGGGTTTTCTGTGTCATTTCCATGACAAACTTGATCTTCGATGGGTTGCGAACTGGTCGTGTTTAAAGGTGTCCACGTGAAATCTAAAAGCAGACATTGTAGATAATTATGTAACTCTACATCGAGGACAAGTACTTTGAAGACTGGCATCGATCCATAGAGGGAAATCGTCCATTTCTTTACCCAAAACGTCGACATCCTGAACTTCGGGAGCCACCACAATTCCGTTCACACTTTCATATATTAAAGTTTTAGAACCTCCTTCAGCCACAATTGTGTTCAAAATGGTATCGTGAGTACCTGAAACTCAGAGTTAGATTTTCAAAACTTAACAAATACGTCGTACTTCTGTGAACTCCGCTTCCACCACTGGACGCGCTTCGTTCATTTACACCAGCAGCAAACAACATAATTTTGTGGTCGTAAGCGAACATCTGTTGGGTTTGAAGAGCTGCAAAGACGACTTTAGATATTAGTTCATGAAGAAGTACCAACAAACCTGTTAAAAATGGGAGCTCTGCGTGCCACTCGGTGGGGTAGACGATGGCATCTATGTTCTCAGTCAAGACGGGTTGAGCTGGACTTTTGAATAAAATATCAAAGCAAGTGAAGATGCCAAACTTGACACCAAAGTCGGTTTCAAACGTTTCTATTTCTGGTTCATCAGGTCTGTCCATGTCGAACTCACCAAAGAGGTTGTACTTGTGATATCTAAAATCAACAAATAAAGTGTTGGTTCATCTTATCAGATATACAAACCGGCTGATGATGGTGCCATTTCTGTCGAAGACCACATCTGTGTTGTAATAGTAGTACCCAGTGTTCTTACAATTTTCGCTATCACTAGAAGATGTGTCATCACATTTCACTTTTTCAACTAGATTAGTGACGAGGTATGTTGTAAAGTTGGCTGCCGTGAAAGATAAAGTTTTCATAAAGTCTGGATATTCTTTGAGGTCATAGAAGGGGTTGTCTCCTGTTGCCATTTCCACAGAAGTTTCGCCAATAACACCAAGACTTCCTTCAGGAAATATGATCATATCAAGTGTCTAGGAGAAACTGGTGAAAACAATTTTAGATTTTTTTCTTAAACTACCTTATTATTTGTGACCACTGTAGTATTTAATATATCTAAGTACTTGACGAGGTTCGCTTCTATTATTTCATTGTCTGTGAGTCTTTCGTTATAGACTGGCTCAAATTCCACGACGGCGATGGTTGCTGAAAGGGTGTCCCATGGTGAAGCCTGCAAATATATTAATTTAAATTTGTATCCATTGGTGTTTGTATGTGTTTTTGATTATTATTTACCTGAGACACAGAAATTATAATTAGTGAAAATAAGATAACTGGTAACATCTTCGCCAAGAAATCGTTGCGTACTGAAATATTCAAAGATGTACGTCTGATTTATTGGTGGAGTCAACACAGGTAATTACTAACTAATGGAGATAAGCTGATAAGATGAAAATCGCGAACATAATTTCTTTTAGTACTACCTTCTGATAATTGTGTTTGTTGAAACTTGATCCTTTCCAAAAATTTTAGAAATGTTTATTATTGTTATCAACTTATTAGTGTCAAAGTTTAAGAAATTACACAATGTAAAGGGCACTTGAAGTACTATAAGTTGGTTTTTTAAGTCTAATCTGAATCTTATTTAATTTGTTTTTTCTAAAACAAATACGATATCAGATTCCATGGTTTTTATCATTTTCAATGATTTTTCTTGAAAATAGTACTTATCAGTCATAAATCTCATTTACCGATCTTATTTATAAATAGATAAATTTAGATGTGGTTTTTTACAGAAAAATGTGGTTTTGTCCTGATATAAATACTTGCGTTTTGTTATCGAACTGGAACATTATTTATAGTAGTATTATAATTTATTATTTGCCTTACAAGCTTAATAAGATTCCAAGTAGGGGTACAAATTAACTTACTAAATATATATATACACCAAGGCAAATGTTTCGTTATGTCCTATACAAGAAAACTTAATCCTAGTATATTTCCTTACACCATAGCTAATACTGAGTTACATCGTTGTGACAATTTTAAAGATTTAGGCATTACGTTTGATTCTAAACTCAATTTTGTGAAACATATAGATGACGTAATAGCAAAATCTTTTAGGATGTATGGTTTTGTTTATAGAAATTGTAACGAGTTCTCAAATATAACAACTTCATGTAATTTATATTTTGCGCTTATTAGATCTATGTTGGAATATGGTGCTATAATTTGGCATTCTTTATATGATGTGCATGTTAAGAATATTGAAGCTGTTCAACGCAAATTTCTAAAATTTTTATGTTATTGTGTAGATAAAGTTTATCCTGAAGGGGGTTGTGATCGTGCTGCACTACTGGGTAGGTTTGAATTTCTAGCTCTCCAGAATCGGCGCAATATTATTGTCCTGAAATTTGTTTTTAATTTGTTTAACAACAAAATAGATTGTCCAAGTCTTCTGGACAAATTTAACTTGGTTGTACCTCGTATTAATTCACGCCAATCTCAAATTTTTTATAGTCCACCATATAAGACAAACGTACTACGTAAATCTCCAGTAGTTGTTATGTCCAATAAGGTAAATGAAATATCTACTCATTGCGATATATATTACGATTCGCTATCAGTTGTAATCAAATCCTTTCTTTGTATTTTAGTAAGTAGTAAGGTTTATAGTTTGTAGTTTTGTGGGAGCTTTTATTATTAATAATGCCTTATGTTATACTTAAGTTCAGTGACTTTGGAATTGCATGTTATTTTTTTACTGTTTTAGTTTTCCTTGTTATTGGGTGTAAACCTGTTAGGAATAAAGCCTTGTTATTATTAAGACCCACCACTGACCCGGAAATGACCGGCATTCAGGCAAGACTTCTATCATTACGGGTACTAAGACCAAGAAATGATATGTATTGATGAGATTAACAAAACAACTTTCGAGATCCTAGAATTACAGCATACAAATTAATCTGCTATTATTCTCTAATCTCACCCCATCCCCAAAAGTCTAGTAACTACCGATCATTTATCCGCGCATCACTTGGAAAGTGACCTACACTACTCTGACCTACTGGTGCTAATCTAATCTCACTGACATGATCAGACTGTTCGAGAAACTTACGAACAATATGACATGTTCCTAACAAAATAGCTTTTTGAATTTTGACAACTATTGAATCATTCAAATGCAAAGACTTTAAATTCTCAACTAAGCTATTTGGGACTACACCTACATTAGAGATAACTAAGGGTAGAATTGAAATTTGTTTAAGATTCAACATGGATTTCATTTCTATCAATAATTGTAGATATTTTGAAATCTTGGTGTGGTATGTTTGAATAATGTTGTTTGTGTTAGGAATAGCAATGTCAATGAGAATGGCTTCGTTCGTGTGTTTTTTGATAAGTATATGATGTCTGGTCTGTTAGCTGTAATGTTTAAGCCTGTAAGTATTGTACGATCCCAGTATAATTTGTATTTGTTATTTTCAAGGAACAGAGATGGAATGTAAGTGTAATAGGGTGTCGTATCTTCGATTAAGTTCATAAGTGTTGCTAATTCTTGGTGAATGATTTTGGCTGCGTTGTCTTGTCTAGCTTTGTAGTCAGTTTGTGCCAGGATGCTGCACGAGGAGATCATGTGCTGGATCGTTTCAGGTTTTGCTTTGCAGAGGCGACAGCAGTCGTTTCTTATATTCGGATCTTTGATGATGTATTTTCTGTAATTCTTGGTATTGATTACTTGGTCTTGAATAGCAAACACAAATCCTTCTGTTTCGGCATACAAACTTGATTTTTTTAACCAAATCAATGACATCTTCTTATTGACATGAGTTTCTTCTAAGTCTTTGTAGAATTTTCCATGTAGTTGTTTTTGTTTTAGCCCACTTATTATTTTGTCTATTGTATGGAGGGTCTGGATTTCTTCGGTGTTCGACAAATTTAAGGGTGTGTGGTTCAAATCTGCTCTTGTGATGGTGCGAAACATTTCATTTCTGTCTGCTCGTTTCAAAAAATACTTCTTCAGATCTGAGATTTGTCTCTGATATAAGTTTTCTAGGTTCTGGAAACCCCTTCCTCCATTCTGTCTTGGTAATGAGAATCTTTCAATGGATGGTTTTGGACAATGCCTTCTATACTGTGTGAAGATTTTCCTTGTTGCCATGTTTAAATTTTCAAGATCAGTTTTGGACCATTTAATGACTCCAAAAGAATATGTTAGCAGTGGAACGCAGAATGTATTTACTGCTTTCATTAAATTTTTTCCATTTAACTCTGTCTTCAATATTAATTTTAATCTCGCTAGGTATTGATCTTTCAACTGTGTTTTCGTTTTGGTATGATTGATGTGGGAGGATTGACAGACACCTAGATATTTGTATGTATCATTTCGTTCTTGGGCTTCGATTATTTCGTTATTCTGGGTTATATGTGGTACTTGGTGTTGGACGCCTTTTCTGATTGCTCGGGTCTTACATTTCTCAATACCAAAAGACATACCAATATCACCGGAAAACTGTTCAGTCAGATTTAATAGGTTGTTAACTGATTTTGTGTTCTTGCATATATTTTTATGTCATCCATATACAGCAAGTGACTTATTCTGTTTTCTTTTTGTTTGTTAATTCTTATATTGAACCCATAATTGCAGCTGTTCGGGATATCGGAGAGGGGATTTATTGCTAAGCAGAACCATAACGGGCTAAGAGAATCGCCTTGAAAAATTCCTCTTCGGATCATTATTGGATCTGACTGAATTGTTTGTTCATTTAAAGTTATTTGGAGGGTGGTCTTCCAAAATTCCATGGAACATTTGAGAAAAGTGCAGATTTTAGAATCAATTTTGTATAATTCCAGAATTTTGCATAGCCAGGAATGAGGGACAGAATCATAAGCTTTCTTATAATCAATAAAAGTAGTATATATGTTTCGATTTTCTTTTTTAGCTTGTTCACAGATGATGGAATCTATGATTAATTGCTCTTTGCAACCAAAGGATCCTTTAATACATCCTTTCTGTTCTTCATTAATGATGTCAGAGTTAAAACAGTGTTGATAGATTTTTTGTGTAATGCATGAGGTTAATATTTTATATATTGTCGGTAAACATGAGATAGGTCTGTATTTTGATGGATTTTTTGTGTCGTTATCTTTAGGTTTTAGGTATATTACACCATGACATAAGAATGTTGGAAAGGAGGATGGATCAAGAAGGAACTGATTTAAATGATGTAGGAAATGAATGTACACAATTTAATTTTTTTATCCAAAAATTATGTATTTTGTCTGGTCCTGGTGATTTCCAGTTGTGTGTCTTATTGATGGTATTTATTAATTCGGCAAGTGTTATCTGATGATCATTCATTGGTGTAATTGTGGATAGTTTATGGGATATATGAGGAATCCATTTGGCAGATTGGTTAAATTCAAATTCTTGAGACCAAAGTTTTGACCAAAATGTTGTTACATCCTGTGAACTTGGAAGTTCACCGGATAATTGAGTTTTATTGCTTGAATTAGTTAAATGTTGATAGAATAGTTTTTCGTTGTTTAAAAATTTAGTGTTATGAATTTTTCTGAGATGTGATTGTTTGTATTATTATTATTATTATTATAGAAGTAGAAGTAAGGCGGCAAAATGCCGATGCACTTCATTACAAAGTCAGAGTGTGCATTAATACAAGATAATATAAATAAATATGAATACAATAATGATGAAAATTTAAAAAGAGCTAGAAAGAATTAGAAAAGTGGGCGTCAAGTCGGTTCTTGAAGGCATTGAGTGACGAGGCTGCGATAACATCATTCGGCAGAGTGTTCCACAAATTTGGTATTCTGTTTGTGAGGAAGTGTTGCCTACACAATTTGTAAAACCGTTCACGTACTAGCTTCAGATTGTGTCCTCGTAGGTGTAGATTAGTGCTGAGTACAAACAATGATAAATGACACGTATAGTGACCATGCAATATTTTGTATGTCTCAATTAAATCGCCACGAATTCGTCGAGCAGTCAAAGAAGATAAGTGAAGGGCAGTAAGTCGTTGTTCATAGGGGAGATGTTTTAAAGCAGGCGACAGTTTAGTGAAACGTCGTTGTGCCTGTTCTAGGACATGGATATCACCAGCAAAGTAAGGATTCCACACTGGGGCGGCATAATCAAAAATTGGTCTGACATACGATTTATAGATGCGTTCTAGCAAAGCAGGATAAATATTTTTAAAACTGATAGCAACTAAGTACCGCAGCGAGTTAACCTTTTTAACCACAGCACCAATGTGGGATGCCCATTTGAGGTCACTTGATATAATAACACCTAGATCTCTTTGTTGTTTTACAGATTGCAATTCAATTCCGTTAAGATAATATGATTTATGTGGATTGTTTGACCCAATATGTAATACAGTGCATTTAGCTTCATTTGTGGATAGTAA